GCATTCCCACCAGCAGTGTACTAGAGTCCCCTTTTCTCTACACTCTCGCCAACACTTGTTTGATGATTTGTTGATGGCGGCCATTCTGACAGGTGTGAGGTGATACCTCATAGTCATTTTAATCTGCATTTCTCTGATGATTAGTGACGTTGAGCATTTTTTCATATGTCAAAGACCCTATTTTCCAAACATGTAAACAAACATAATGAACTAGAGTCCTTAAGCCTTGCTTAATTAGAGTAAAATTTGTTTTAGAGCAGAAGGTAAATAAATGTAGACATTTAAATATTAATGTTTGGATGGAAGTGTTTGATGGAAAGAAATTTCACATTGCAATAGTTCTTTTCTCTTTAGATGGGTGGCCCTTCACAGATTTTAATTCACAGGAAGCAGAAAAAAACCATTCAAGTTTTTTGTTTGTTTTTTTTATTCCTCACCCAAGGATATCTTTCTGTTTATCATTAGACAGAGTAGGAGGGAGGGAGGGAGAGAGAGACAGAGAGAAACATCGATGTAACAGAGACATATCGACTGGTTGCTTCCCAAACGACCTGACCAGGGCTGGGGATGAACTGCCACCAAGGTATGTGCCCTTGACCAGAATCGAACCCACAACTCATTGGTCCACAGGCCGACACTCTAACCAAAGAGCAAAACCAGCCAGGGCCTCATTCAAGTTTTCATCACCTGACTTCCCAAGAATGGATAGAGTCAGGGGAAAGGGCGGCCTAGAAAAGGAGGAAGTCAGAGGTTATAATTTCTTGCAACTCCAGGCAGAGTCCAGCTCAGGCTGAGGGGCTGGGAGGCTGGGGTGGTCTTTATTTATTTATTTACTTTTTTAATCCGGAGGACATTTATCCATTTTTTGTTCAGATAGAGCAGGAGGGAGAGAGAGGAAGAGAGAGAAACATCGATGTGAAAGGGACACATCAAGTGGCTGCCACCCACACGACCCAACCAGGGCCGCGGACAAACTGAAACCAAGGTACGTGCCCTTAGTGGGAACCGAACCCGGGTCTCTCTGGACTGCAGGCCGATGTTCTAACCCGGTGAGCCAAACCGGCCAGGGCTGGGTGGTCTTTAGAAATCAGGGTCTTCTCTTAAGGAATTCCAGGCGAGAAGACACAGCACTTCCTTCCATCTGTGGGTTCCCACGAGCCTCCTCCCTGCTTCCGTGATGTGGTCCAGTTCTTACAACGCACAGGGACCTCCCCTTTGGGGCCCAGGAGTTAAGTGCCTGGCTGCTTAAATTCAGCACAGTATCTGAAAAGATGGGCTCCCCAGGTACAAATAACGCTCCAGCACTATTAAACTACATACAACACCCTGGCCCGTGTGGCTCATTGTCTCTCACGCACCAAAAGGTCACCTGTTTGATTCCTGCTTAGGACACATGCCCAAATTCGGGCTTGATCCCCAGTAGGGGGTGTGCAGGAAGCAGACAATCGATGTCTCTCTTTCTCCCTAAACCAATACAGAAAAATACATATTAAAAGCATACAACAGTCAGTGTCACACTTGCACGTCAAATGGAGCTGCATCGTCAGCTCTGCCTTAAGGCCCTAACAGAGGGAGGTCTGGAAGCCAAGGAAAGCAAGTCTTAAAGTCTTGTTATAAATGCTGTGTGTGGGGTAAGCCCTACATTTTATTATATTCAGCTGATACGTTTGTCTATTTGATCTAACCCTGGGTTTCTTTACTTGACTGTGTGTGTCCATGTCATACCAATCCCCTGAAGCCACCTGTCTGTCTGCTGCTGCTAATCCTGATTTCCAATTCTTAGGGAAATCGGTGACTTCTCTTGGCTGACATTGAGAAAGTTCCTAGGTAGCTTTATCCTGCACACCTACTTATTCTCTGGCTATTTTTGTTTGAGAAAAATGAAGGAGGGGGTAAGGGGTCCTGCCCTTGTGGCCTTTGTCCTCTGTGCATGGTTCTCTCTGTTGGTAGGAGAGATGTGACCATCCAGCAAGCATCTACCCACAGGGCATGTCCACCCTGGGATGAGCTTTTTAGGTGGTTTCCTTGGCAACCAGACCTACTAATCTTTTCCCTCCCTCCACATACCAGTAACGAAAAAAAAAAAACACAAAATTAGCTTAGTGGAGCACCAATACTAATACCTTTTCATGAATATGCACAGGCTCTTTATGCTCTAGAACTCATTTCTTTGTGCTCTAGAACTCATTTCCAGAACATTTGAAAGTTGAAAAAAATAGGAATGTTTTAGACCAGGAGACCTTCAGGATCTATTAGTCACTGTCCTGTTTTACAGAGGAGGCCCACACCAGTGACACCCAGAGTTCACATAGCCAGCTATGTAGAAGGGGGACCACGCCCTGGGGTCCCTGTGCCTGGCCCTGGGCTCTTCCCACTATACCAGGAGCCACCTCCATCTGGCACTCTGCCACTGCCTAGCAAATGCGCCATGTCACTCTCTGAGGACAAGGACCACTTCACACTGCTTTGTGTCCCCTGTCCCCTGGGACAGTGATGACCAACAACAGGTTCTCAGAACATTTACTGATGCCTGACCTGGGTTTCCTTACTGTAAATCGATGGCTATCATCCTCACAGGCAGTTGCTTGCTTTCTCTGCCACGGGATGTCTGTAAGTGTGTGTGTGAGCGTTAGCAGCCCTGGACAGCAGAAGCTGGGAAAATGTAGAAGTTTTAAAAATGGTGATATTGTTTCATCCCTGCCCCTTACTGTGCAAGAGATACTATTCTAAAGCTATTTGCTCATCTTTGTTTGTACTTAACTTTGATGAATACCTATATTTTTTTTTTATCCTCAGCTGAGGACATGTTTCCATTTTTTTGTTCAGATAGAGTGGGAGGGAGAGAGAGAGAGAGAGAGAGAAAGAAAAAGAAACATCAACATGAAAGGGACACATCGAGTGGCTGCCACCCGCACGAACCATCCAGGGCCGGGGACAAACTGCAACCGAGGTACATGCCCTTAGCGGGAACTGAACCCGGGTCTCTCGGGACCGCAGGCTGACGCCCTAACCGCTGAGCCAAACTGGTCAGGGCAATACCTACATTTTTTAGTGGCAAAATGACACATGAAATGGGAGCATAGTAAATACATATAAGCATTTAAAAGTAATGTATGTGAGGTATGTAATAAAATGCCACAAACTGACATCCTTCACCTCGGGATTAGGAGGGTGCTGAGAATGGGGTTGGCTGCTGATTCCATAGTTGTATATGACACTCCTCAGTCATAATGGCATAATCAGATACTTCAGGAAACTGAACTCTATGTTCATGCTTCCATCCAGATCAAATACATTCTGGTTTGGTATCTTTCAGGTTAGCGATGCGTTCCTTCAGCACTTACTCCCACCATGATTTTAGCCACTTTCTCGGCCTTTCCATTGCCATTTTGGCTGTTGGCAAGCTGATCCTGCCACAATGTGAAATGGCTGCCTCGGCAGGTAGAACCAGTTTCAGCTTATTTTGGACTTTCGTTTTCCATCCCCAAATGAAAAGGCCACGGAGAATGACGGTGCCTTTGGGTCAGAGAGCTTCGATGCATTAACACATTTCCTAGAAGTTCTCTGGTTCCTTCTCTTTGGTCCTGCTTGCTTGTCCTTTGTAATTTGCTTTTATTTGCTCTGAATTCTATTCCATTTTTTGGTCACGGTACTCCCTCACCCAATTAGTTAAGCAACAATTCTCTGAATTAGCTTTAGCCTTACAGAGACTTTTTCAGAAGCATAGAATTATTTTATCTTCACACAAAAGATAGTTCCCTGAAAAATATGTCTCTCGGTGCATTGTGCTGAAGTCACCCCTTTACGCTCACTTTGAAGTTTCTCCCCCAAATCAACCTGGATTCCCCAATCCAAGGAGCAGAAGCCTGCGCTGCATTCTAATTTTTCATTGGCTGTGTTTGTTTATTGTGCATTAGCATATTCAACAAAACTGCCTCTTCTGGCATGTTTCCATTTTTAAGAATTATTGGAAATTTAGAAAAGTGTTTCCGTCTGAGAAATGAGAAATCAGCCGTGAGCTGTAGGTCAAAGCTAATAATAAAGTCCTGTCATAAAACAGGCAGAAACATCAGAGAAAAGAGGAATCGTTAGTTTTCTTGTTGCTACTGCAACAAATTACTCCCAAATTTAGTGGCTTAAACAAGACATTGTGCCCTGGCCAGTTTGGCTCAGCGGTTGGAGCGTCGGCCTGCGGTCCAGAGAGACCCGGGTTCGGTGTCCGCTAAGGGCATGTACCTCGGTTGCAGTTTGTCCCCGGCCCTGGTTAGTGGTGCGGGTGGCAGCCACTCGATGTGTCCCTTTCATGTCGATGTTTCTCTCTCTCTCTCCCTCTCTCTTCCTCCCACTCTATCTGAACAAAAAATGGAAAAATGTCCTTGGGTGAGGATAAAAAAGAAACAAGACATTGTTCTCTCCCAGTCTGGAGGTCAGAAGTCCAGAATCAATTCCACTAGGCTAAAATGAAGGTGTCGGCAGGGCTGGTTCTTTCTGGAAGCTCAGAGGAGAGAATTTATTTCCTTTATTCATATCGCTGCTCACTGATCTCCTGCCTCCCTCTTGTAAGGACCTTTGCAATTACATCAGACCTGCCCAGATAATCCAGGATAATCTCCCCATCACAGCCCCGAACTTAATCACATCTGCAAAGTCCCTTTTGCCATATAAGGTTATACATTCACAAATGATTCTGGGGGTGATGAAGTAGACATATTTGGAAGCCATTATTCAGCTGACTAAAAGACCATGACTTCTCTCTCTAGTGACAGTTTCTTCGGCCTCTGGTATTGAGGTTGGGGTGGGGAGAGGTTTGTGGGTGGGCCTGCCTATGGCCTGCAAAGACCCCAAGCTCAGCTTCCTGCCTGCAGCCCCCTACGGTGGCAGGCAGGCCTCAGCCCCCTCCCGGGACTGTCAGGCATGTCATGTAGTGCTCTAGAGTCACATCGCTGTTCCCAAGATGTGTGCCAGCTGCCCTTCCTCACCCTGTTCTCTTTCCTCTGCAGCACTGTGCTAGTGCCGGGAGGCCACTGTGTCAGCAAGCTGAGAGGGAAACTGAGGCAAGATGTCAGGCCGGAGCGGGAAGAAGAAAATGTCCAAGCTGTCCCGTTCAGCCAGGGCGGGTGTCATCTTCCCCGTGGGGAGGCTGATGCGTTACCTGAAGAAAGGGACATTCAAGTACCGGATCAGCGTGGGTGCTCCGGTGTACATGGCGGCCGTCATCGAGTACCTGGCAGGTAGGACCCCGCGGGCACCCTCCGCTCGGCCCCTCTCGGCCTGGACCGGTGCGTCTCAAGGCTCCTGTGGGTGGTGACTGGCTTTCAGCTTGCCTGCTACGCTGCAGTAGGTTTCTGCAGAATTTAGGGGAGAGGAGAGGGCCTGAGAAGGACAGATGATCAACACGGGAGGAAGAGAACCCACAATAAATTGGCTTTTCCAGACCAGCCCTGAGAAAGGTGTGTCTTGCTTTAGGCAAATGCTATGTGTAAAAATCTAGGTTCCCAAAGAAGAGAAACTACAGGAAGGATGGGGGCGGGGGTGCTATTCTTTTTGTAAAAGGGGGTCTTTATTTTTATTTATTTATTTTTTGTGTGTGTGGTACGTGCCCCTAGCGGGAACCGAATCCGGGACTCTCTGGTCCGCAGGCCGACACTCAGCTGCTGAGCCACACTGGCCAGGGCAAGGGGGTCTTCATTTTACGTAAAATCCTCATTCAATGTCGGTTCTCCTGGTGTATGAAACTAGGACTCAGTGTCCGTCAGTAACATTGACCGGAGCATCAGCAGCACCTTCAGCTGGTTTCGTGAAGCCAATAATGTTCTCCTTTTGCTTCTTTACAGAGGTGGTACATAGGAAATAGTTCCCCATATTGGTTGTTAAATTATCTTTTTACTAAGAGATGAGAGTTTTGCTGTGTGTTCTTTATATAGTTGAGTAGCTTTCTATTTTATTTTTGTTATTGTACTCTTCTGATATAGTTAAACAGAAACCATACTTCACAATTTCAAGGATGCTTTAAAAATATATACAGCCCTGGCTGGTTTGGCTCAGCGGTTGGAGCGTCGTCCAGCGGTCCAGAGAGTCCTGGGTTCGGTTCCCACTAGGGGCACATACCAAAAAAAAAAATTAAAAAATAAAAATATGTACATATAGCCCTGGCCGGTTTGGCTCAGCGGTTGGAGCATCACCCTGCAGACCAGAGAGTCCTGAGTTCGGTTCCCACTAGGGGCACATACCAAAAAAAAAAAAGATTACTTGAAATATATATATATATATATATATATACATATATAAAATATAAATGTAAAAATCTATATAAATAAGTGTGATTTGTTCAGTGAAGGAGTCCTTTTAGGCATTAGAAACAATAGCTCTGATTCTGCCCATGGTTAACAAATTCCCCAAACCCCAGGGTCAAATCCCTTGGGAGTCTACCAGGGAAAAATTGAACCCCCCTAAACTGTCCACCCGGAAGCTGAGCTCCTTGCAGCCACAGATGAAAACCCCCGTCGGGCAGGGCTGGACCCAGTTTCTGTCCCAGGTCCCTTTTCCCTCCTGCTTCTCCTTCAAGAGCAGTCTCTTGCTTTTTCAAGGTCCGGTCCTGTTCTGCCCTCCTGGTCCCCTGCCGCTCACCCAGCTCCTTTACTGATGAAAGGTTTGCTCTGATCCACCCTTGGAAACCTTCTCTCCCTGGGCCCTCCGTCGGGCGACAGACCTTGGCGCCGTGAGCCTGTCCTTCCCTGAGCTGAGTTTTTCAGAAGGATCCTTTAGGAGGGTGGGGAGAGGGGCTGGAAGGCTCTGACAGTCATTGAATCAAGTGTGATAGAGCAGTGCTTCTCCAAGTGGGATCCCCCCGGGACAAGGTGGGGCCTGAGACTCTGCATTTATAACAGGCTCCCAGGCAGTGCTGCTGCTGCTGGTTCAAGGACCACCTCAGAGGAGCAAGATGGTGAGCCAGCCTTAGCAGCAGGCCTGAAGGCTTGGGGAATGTTCGTTTAAAAGGCAAGTTCCTGGCGACCCCTCCCCCAGTGGTCTGATTCACTGGGTCTGGGGTAGAACCCAGAAATCGAATGGGAAAGTCTTCTGGCTCCAAGATGGAGAGGAGGGACTTTGAGAAAGATGAATGAAAACAAGCTGTTAGGCCCTGACTGGTTTGGCTCAACAGACAGTGTGTCAGCCCATGGACCAAAGGGTCTGGGATTCAGTTCCCAGTCAGGGGCACATACCTGGGTTTACAGGTTTGATCCCCAGCCCAGGTCAGGGTCGTGTGGGAGGCAACCAATCGATGTGTCTCTCTCACATCAATGTTTCTCTCTCTCTCTCTCTTTCTCTCTTCCTCCCTCCCTCCCTTAAAAAATCTACTTTATCTAAAAATTAATGGAAAAATATCCTTGAGTAGGGATTAACAAGAACAACAAAAAAACCTGTTAGGCCTGTATCACCCACTGAGCCTGGAAACCACTCGGGTAACCCAGAGACCCACAGCCTCCGAGCAGGGAGCGGAGCCTCCCTGAGGCCTTCAGCCCCAAGCCTGCACTTTCTGCTACACTACACTGCCCCACTGTCACGTTGACACAGTCAGTGTAATTAAATACTTTCCATGTCTCCACTTGACAAAAGTCTACACTTTGTGCATAACAAAACAAAAGTTAGCTTTTGTAATTAAATTTTATTTTATTTTTTGTTCAGGTAGAGTGGGAGGGGGAGAGAAGAACAGAGAGAGAAAGAGAGAAACATCGATGTGAAAGGGACACATCGAGTGGTCGCCACCCGCACAACCAACCAGGGCCGGGGACAAACTGCAACCGAGGTACATGCCCTTAGCGGGAACTGAACCCGGGTCTCTCCGGACCGCAGGTCGATGATCCAACCGCTGAGCCAAACCGGCCAGGGCCAAAAGTTAGCTTTTGAATCACTGGCATCTCTGTTCATCTTTGGTTCAGATAAAAGCTTACATTTTCTTATTTATTCAACAAATATCTGTTAAGCATTTACATGTCAGGGCACACACCAATCCTCAGACTCCTCTCTGGGGATAGAATTGGACCATTCAGAAGATTTTTGGTTTGTTTTGGATCAGTGTCCCCAGCCTCCATAGCAACCCCACCCTTACTAGGAGTGCAGGTCTTTAAAGATTTATGGTATCTCCCAAAGTAGAGCATCCTCCTGTTTCTCAGGTGAGTTCTCATCATCCTCCATCCAGTCAACAGTTATTGAACACCTGCCGTATGCCAGGCGTTCTAGATGCTGAGGGCACAGCACAGACAGGAGCCCCTGCCCTCCGGCAGGGCGCATTCTGGAGGGAGAAGCCAGCAAAGGGGTGGAGGGTGGTCAGACGCTGCTACGTGCTGGGGGGCAGATAAAGCCGAAGGACGGACGGGGTGTTCCAGGAGGGGGTGTAAATAGAGCCTATTCAGGAAGGCCCTGCTGAGGGGTGGCATCGGAAGCAGGCCAGGGAGCGGGCCTGGGGTGTGTGGGGTGTGTGGGGGCAGGCGCCCTAGCCTGAGGGGAGGCAGGTGCTGGGAGTGTTGGGGGAACAGCAGTGGGGCCAGAGGGCTAGAGCTGGGGGGGGGCGGGCTTGGACTGTAAATGAGGCTCAAGAGAGAAGGGGCAGGTGGGGGAATAAGAGCAAGCAATGGGGCTCTGCAGGCCTTTGAGCAGAGGCAGGAGTGATTTGATCGTGGCTGGGGGCGGTGCCGGGAAAGCAGCTGGAAGGCTATTGCAGAGATGCAGTGAGTGGGCAGGGAAGGCACCGAGAAGTGGTCAGAGTACTGATGTATTTTGAAAGCAAAGCCAACGGGATTTGCTAATGGGTTGCACGCGAAATAAGACAGGATGATTGCACACGAAATAAAAGACAGGATGAGCCCTGGCCGGTTTGGCTCAGCGGTTAGAGCGCCGGTCTGCGGTCCAGAGAGACCCGGGTTCGGTTCCCGCTAAGGGCACGTACCTCGGTTGCAATTTGTCCCCGGCCCTGGTTGGTCATGCGGGTGGCAGCCACTCGATGTGTCCCTTTCATGTCGATGTTTCTCTCTCTCTCTCTTCCTCTCTCTCCCTCCCACTCTACCTGAACAAAAAATGGAAAAATGTCCTCGGGTGAGGATAAAAAAAAAAAAAAGACAGGATGAGCACCTGGAAGGATGGCATAGCCATTAATATCCCCCTGGCCAGTCCCAGCATCCAGCACCTTCCTCAGTCAAAGGTCTAGGCCTGTCTTCTCGGTGCCCCTTCCCTTCCTTTTGTGTGTTTTCTCCCCTCCCACCTCCCGCTGGAGTGGAGAGAGCACAGGCTTAGTCAGATGCCAGTTTAAATCTGGTTCATCAGTTTACCAGCTGTTACCTCGCGCTAATTCCTGAGTCTCTGAGCTGCAGGTATGTGAAAATGCCCGGTGCTTAGGATGCACTCAATAAACGGTCATTCTTCTCTCCCTTCTATTAAGAGCTGATGAAATTATTCAGGACAAACTATATGGTGACTAATTTTGTTAAGGTGTTGTCTATTGGAGCTGCATTTGCCTTTTTTTTTTTTTTTTAACCCAAGGACATTTTTTCCATTGATTTTCAGATAGAGTAGAAGGGAGGGAGGGAGAGGGAGAGAGAGAGAAAAACACTGATGCGAGAGAGACACATCAATTGGTTGCCTACTGCACAATCCCAACCAGGCTGGGGATTGAACCTGCAGCCCAGGTACATGCCCTCAACCGGAATCGAACTGGCAACCCTTTGGCCCTCAGGCCGACGCTCTAACTACTGAGCAAAACTGGCTAGGGCTTCATTTGCACTTAAATTAGACAAGAAGTTTTAAGCCAAAGGAGTGAATCACTGTTAGTGGAATTGCAGGCTATTGTTGACTAAGTAAAAGGGGGATTTTGTTAGTTGTTCCTTTTGTTGTTGTTTTGGAGGAGGCATCGATTGATTTTGTTTAGGAAAGGGTGTTCATAGTGTGAAAGCCTCCTGTCACCCTTGAAATGACTTTCAACATTTATGACAAAATATTGACTGAGTTTCTCCAAAGATCAGGCCTTGAAGCTACAAAGGAAAACAGACGTGGCTAGGCTAGCGGGGCGGACGAGCGTTGAACACAGCGCAGTAAGATACATGCATGTTGAGCAGAGAAGTTACAGGAGCTTTGGGAAGGGGGATGGTGCGCAGGGGAGGCTTCCTGGTGTAAAGCAAGCGTTTTAAGACCTAAGCTCTCTTTTTCCTCAAACTGGTTGATTTAAAATCCTGATGCCTGG